GATCTGGTACCCTTATGGAAGTGTTCTTTACATGTACAAACATAGAAATTATGGAAGATCTTTATAGAAGGAAGTGTTATTTACATGTACAAACATATTATTAAATCCTGGAATTAGGTTCTGATTTAGTATCTTTTGAATATTTGTCCTGCCTCTTATAGATCATAGGATCTGGTACCCTTATGGAAATGTTCTTTACATGTACAAACATAGAAATTATGGAAGATCTTTATATTAGGTTATACTCTAATTCGTAAGTATTAGATAATGTTAGCTCCACGAGAAGTGTTATTTACATGTACAAACATATTATTAAATCCAATTTTCTAGTTGTTTTTATTCTTCTGTCTTTTGTTGTCCCAAGATTTGATTTAAATTTTGAAGTTGAAGAAGTGTTTGAGTTATACTCTAATTAGTCAGTATTAGATAATGTTAGCTCCACGAGATGACAATTAAGATTATTATTTTGTTCCGTTGTTCTTGGTTAGATATCTGCTTTGGATTTCTTCTTTCAAAATTACTATATAATATGGATTGGAAAAGTGAAGTTCCTGGCTGGTCTAACACTGACCGAGATTTAAAGCTAAAAACACTTTCATTATATCAGTGGGTGTTTTCTCTTTGGATTTTACATTTGCCAGCTGAACATTAACAGTGAAAGGTAAACATAAGTGAAATGCCATTAGTATCTGGCTGTAGTGGCATAGTGGCATAATGGACATGGAGAGTTACTACTGTTGACTGGTTTGTTCTAATCCCACCAAGTGTAATATAAGATTTGCTTATATTTGCAATAAAATAGTGTTTGAGATTGAACTACCCTTTCCTTTTCTGCTGCACTGTCGTTGGTTTATTACACATAAAATCTTTTATTTAATGTTCCATAAAGTACTAAACTAATTGTAAATCAGTCTTTTGATTTTATAACTTAGAATCTAAGAATATTGGATTTATTGTGATTCTTCTTTAAATTATTACTGAATGACTCTTTGTATTTAAGAATAGAACTTTATATTCAAGTGGAGCAGTTAAATGTATT